AATGTTTCCTGAAATGGCACAGAGAATAGGACAGCCTGAAACAGAATCGAAACCCCGTACTCGGGTCCACATTGAGTCGCCCGACCAATTCAGGTCTCATATTGGATAAGATGCCCGTAGGAAGACCTGGATTTTCTTGTAAATAGACTGCATTGGGTTGCCCGGCCAATTCAGGTCTCATATTGGGTAAGAGGGCCCGGATTGGATTCTTGAAATTGGATCCAATTGGCTCTTCGAACCAGGCTCACCCGTCGTATGAACTGGTCCTTTCTCTTCCTGCTGACTCCCGTTATTGGAATCGAATGGAGTATTTCAGTATGCCCCGGCTGACTGTAACGGGGTGACTGAACCTGACCACTCAGTATTTGCACTGGAGTTGGTCGTTGCTCCCAATATTCGATGTAACTGAACATTAATAAAAGTCCCTTTTCTTTATATTTTCACGGTATATTCATGTTTCAACACAACAACGGTTGCAATATTAAAGCATTAATGAGTGTTTCTTTCCACTTATCAAAGGTATTTTGGTGCTCTAGTTTCTATTCAAATGGAACACCCTTTTCCAGTAGGTTTGACAATGAAGTATGAATGTGAGTAAATTGTTGAACAAAATAGTAATAGTATCCAAGAAGGTCTAAAAATAAACAAACTTTAGAAGCATTCTTAGTGGTTGGCCAATCCTTCACTGCTTTTACTTTATCTTGTTCCATATGCACTCTTTTGGAGGACACTACATGTTCCAAAAATATGACTTTTGACTTCCAAAGTTTATATTTTGATTGCTTGCAATAAAAGTGACTATCTTACAATCGACAAAGCACTTCTCATAGATGTTGCTTATGCTTTTTAAGGATTTTACTATATACAAAGATATCATTGATGAAGACAATAATATATTTATCCAAAAGATCTCAAAATAATTTGTTTGTGTGACCCATAAAAGAAGCTGGAGCAATAGTGAGGCCAAAGGATAAAACCAGCCATTTAAAATGTCTATAGTGCATACAAAATACCATCTTTTTCACATCCTTTTTGCAATAGGTTTTTACCAATAGCCGCTCCAAAGATCCAATTTACTAAAGATGATCGCATCTCAAAATTGATCAAGAAGATCATCTATGTATGGAAGTGAATATACATTTTTAACAGTTTGCTTATTGAAACCTTGATAGTCAATGCAAAGGCAAAGTCTACTATCTTTTTTAGGTGCTAAGAGTACAAGTACTCCCTATAGTGATGTACTTTCTTGAATGAGGCCTTTTTCCAAGAATTTGTCCAATGTCTTCCACAGCTCTTCAAGTTCTTTTGGTGCTAGGCGATAAATTGGTCGACTTGCTAATTTGGCTCCAAGTAATAATTCTATTTGAAAGGGGGCATCTTGATCAAGAGGTATGCCACTAGATATGTCAATTAGAAAGACCTCCTAATATTCTCATATGAGTTGCTATGCCCATTCTATTTCTTTGATTGTCTTTTCCATCATTGACACAAGATTTAGAACCACCATATATACTAGTTGCTTCTTCATAAAGGTTGTTCTTATAAATAAGTCTTTGGTTGCAGATTGTCTTTCTTCTTTACTTGATGTGGAAGTGCGAAGAGTCACATTACATCTTCTATCTTTAAAAGAGATTGCCCTTGCTATCTAATCAATTTTTTTTTTTTTTTCCATCTCCAGCCATAGCATACCAAGGATAACATCATACTTTAGCTTTTTTACCTTGAATCTCTCTCTTAAGACATAGGTGTTTGTTAATCTAAAGGTTTCTTTTCTATATGTCTCATTCAATACGTTCTCTTGGCCATTTACAAAGTATATACTTCCTCCTTTAATTTCCTTGATTTTAATTCCAAGCCAAACAATAATTTTAGTTGAGATATAATTTTTTATAAAACGACAATTTACAAGCACTCAACATGGTTGTCCTCTTAGTAGTCCCATTAAATGCACTAGTCAACTCTTTTTATAGTTATTTGAGGCTATGATATTTGTCTCTAAGAAACAATAGCTACCTCCAGTATTGGACTCCAATGCCTTTACTAAAGAGCTCCATTTTCCTACTTTGACTCATTATTGACTTTGTGAATTTTGAGACTGTGAACTTGCCTTAACTTGCTGATACTTACATTTTGATGTTTTGAACAACCTCTGATCTGATGGCTTGGCTCTTGACAATAAAAACACAATCTTTTTTGCACTAATATTTGTTGACTTTATGGTGTCAATGATCCTTGTAAGGCATTAATCTCCATTGGCATTGGTTGTGGTCTCGTAATATTAGATAGCGACATAAGACTTTGTGCTACAAGTCATACTCCACGATTTTTGAAATCTATAGTATTGACCCTCTTTGTAATCTAAATTGCCTCTTCAAATGTTTGTGGATCTCTTAGCTCTACTTTTTGCTAGACTTTAGGTTTCAAACCTCATAGGAATTGATCCATCATCTCCACCTCTAAAACATTGTCAATTTGGACACATAAGAACTTGAATCATGAGACATAAACTTGCATCGATCTAGCTTGTATAAGATTTGCTAAGTAATCATGTGCTATCTTTTCTACATTGATGGACCAAAATTGATTCCTAAATTTGATCTCAAACTCCTCCTAGTCACAAAATCCACCTTGAGCTCTATAACTTTAAACTCGATGTTGCCACCAAATGGTTGTCACATCTCTCAAATAGTTGGCTGCATATATAATTCCTTCAGTGATATATGCCCTAGATAGTTAGAGGTATTTTTACATATTGAAGAGCCATTGACATACATCTTCTTGTATTAAAGTTCTATAATATGTATTAGGCTTGCTCAATTTCAACCTAGCAAATATCGACTCTCTTGTTCTCGAGGCTTCTATTTGTCTTACCAAAATAGCTATCTAGCCTAAGAAGTATTGTATTTGAGCCTCTATTTGAGATTGTTCTAGCAGATCTTCCATATTATAATTTTTCCATTGGACTCCACTATTATAATATCTTTTCACCTCCCGATTTTTTTTTTAAGAGTAGCTCATGGTATCTTCAACACAGTTCCTGATGAAACCATAACAACTGACTTTGGACTAAATGATGACTATTGACATGTTACTAAAAATAAATAATTTAATACTCGCTCTGATACGAATGAAATAAGACTAGACTATCTCAAAAATCTAAAATCTTTCTATTTTATAATAATATAGAATCTGATTACAAGATAATACAAATCAAATCAGAACAGAACTTAATAGAACTACACAGAATAGGATATGAAAGACAAACTGAGGAGATGGAAATAGAATATAACAAAACAAAATAGAATTGAATAAAAGGATGCAAAACCAAACTTTACTAAGAGAAAGGATCTGAAGCCATATTTGACTAGATGCCCCAAAAGGCTCTAGATAGTCCTATTTATATCTTATTCTATCACCTTGGATTTTTTAGAATATTCTTAGGTGGTAGATTCTACCTAAATAACTGCCTTAAACTTCTTTTTCAAAAGATTCTATGATAGGCCCTACTTAGATAACCACCTTAAGCCTTTTTAGAAGATTCTATGGTAGGCCCTATATAATTAACTGCCCTAAATTCTTTCAAGAATGTTCTACAGTGGATCCTATCTAGTCTACTAACTTAACTCTAATTCTAGAAACTTCCATGGTTCTAATTATCTATATAATTATCTTATCTATACCCTATTACAAAAGACTTCTTCACTTTTGTCAATGCCTTTCTAGTCCTTAGTCTTCTTTTAAGACTTTCTAATCTTCTTGTTTTTGGCAATAGCCATTCTAGTTCAATATTATATCATATTTGAATGACTTTCTAGTTCCTTTCAGTGATACAAGAGTGTATTGAGGATTTTCTTCCTTTGAGATTCATGTCCTTGAGAAGAATACAACTTGGATGGCTAAGAAAATATTACAATATAGAAATATACATATAATTAGATAGAATCTAAGATTATAAAATATAATCATTTTATTCTTTTTTAGTCCATATATGATAAGTATCAGTTTGTACATTAAAAAACTTTAATGCTTATTATTAGGATATTAGTATTTTAATTTTTAATTTTTTTAAATCTAAGAAAATGGATTTACTCTATAAATTTCAAACAAAATGAAACCTTAGTACAAGAGTGTTGTGATTCATATATAATACAATAGCCAACATCTTGATATTAAATGCTTTATAGTTGTTTGAAGGATTTTTTATAAAATAGTACATTAACCAAAAAAAAGAATAATCTAATAATATTATTTAATTATAAATAAAACCTCTATTATAATATTTATGTAGAACTTAATAAATTAAGAAGCATTAAACTTCCAAAAGTCATCAAAAATGTAAACTCAGCAAGCTTAGTATTAAATATGCAAGGACATTAAATAATGAGAATCACTAGGTAGACACCTCTAGTTTACTACATGGACACACTCCATGCCATACTAACAATACACCACTATAATAAGTTATTTAACAAGCCAAATATTAATATATTACTATCATAAGTTATTTAACAAGCCAAGCATTAATACACCACTATTATAAGTTATTTAATAAGCCAAACATTAGTGTTAGTGGGACTAAAAGATATAAAAATAATAACAAAAAAATAACAACCAACAATATAAGAACATTAGCAACACACAAATTAATTAAAGAAAAAAATAAACAATAAAGAGGATTGTCTACCTAACAAAACCTCTATGTAGACACCCTTTATAGTTAATTTTTGTATTGCTAATGTCATGGGTTGTTGTGGATTATTATTGTTTTTTTGTTATTATTTTTATATATTTCAACTTCTTCATTCTTGTCTAGCTTATTAAGAAAACTTGTACCAATGGCCAATTGTTGGTGTGGCACAAAATGTAAATACAATAAAAAGGGGTGTCCAGGCAACTGTTTCCTAAATAATAAATCATCTCACCACTGAACGTTTCACTGTGTGCTTCATTCCACAACCCATTTGTGTTGAAAGTCTTGCGTTGATATTGTACTTGCTCGGATGAACAAGGTCAGCATGAAGTTGACCGACACGGTGAAGAGTGAGCAAGTGGATAAAGAGATGGCCGATATAAAGAAATACCAGGCCAAAATTGAAGAACTTGGTCAGAAAGTATCAAACCTCAGTCGGGACAGCACCGATGAAGTCGGCACCGAGCAAAGCCTTCACGTAGCTGCTTTGTTACGTGGTCTTGCTGAAAAGCTCGCTGCGCAGGTTTTCTCATGTGACAACCCTTCGAGATTTGAGTCATGTGCTTTGAGCGAAGCGTGCATGGAACGACACATTGTGAGAGTGTAGAATTTGATGATGGGCAGGAACGGTGTAGAAGGTGTCATGGGTGAGGCAGGAGTTAGCTGTGGGATTCTTAGTGACCGGGTTTGGTGTTGGAGTATGACAGGAAGAGCAGGCAAAACAGACAGCTGTGGGAGTTGAGCAACTATCGACGTCGCTCCAGCAATTGAATCCTAGTCCTACAAAGGTAGGGGCGGTGAGGAGGTGTTTGGTTTGGATAGTGGAGTTAGATGTGGGTTGTGAATGTGAACTTGATTGATGGCACGTGTTAAGGAAGTGTAAAATGTTGTGGAGTTCTTGCTTTGTTTGTGGAGTGAATTTGAGAACAACGTAAAGGTAGAAGGGTCGTCAGTTGTTCCTCAAAAGAAAATATGGAACTAAAGGTAATTGACGGGACCAGCTGCAAGCCATCCTCTCCTAAATTCTAACAGTTTGTTGAAATCAATGTGGATCCATCATGTGATGGACATGCAATCTGTATGCTAAAAATTTCTTAGCTAATGTCTATGTTGGATAGATGATGCCCTATTTCACATCGTTAACATCAGTTCACTCCTGAATGTCAAAAAAACTTGCTTTTGCTGTTACAATTAGTTAATACCAAGGTGTATATTATTAGTCAGGACGATATTAGAAGTGAGTTTGTGACGATGTTATATATGTCATCATGCGAAAAAATTGTTTACGCTTATGGAGTGTCGAAGTCATATCTCTTCAAGGAGGGTGTTCAATCAAACGGTATATTCATGTGTTTCAAAAAAGCAAATCCACGTAGCCTTAACTGCAGATGTCAGAACTCATCATCACGTGGTTAAGCCACCGTCACACACGATTCATGCGGTTACTTTAAATTTCAAGCAGACTTTCTGGATTGTTGGGGAGCGGAATGACTTGACCAAGAATAAATGTTCTTTTTTGAGCGAGAATTGAAACAGAATCGCAGGTCTTGTGTATCTGAAGATTTGAAGTGCTCAAAGCTGAAACACGGAGGTTATTGAAGTGAACCTAACATCGTTTTACTTCCAACATTATATTTCTGCAAAGCTTTGTTTTGACAACAAGGTTTCAAACGCCAGTGTCACCACTTGCGTTTTCCTCGCCCTTGCGGAGGTGGACATAGCTACAACCGATTACACACTTAGCAACCAAAGACACGGTAAGCTTATTTGAAAAAATAAAAGAACCTATAATGAACTTGTAACACAAAAAATAAATAAATAAATAAATAAATAAATAAATCCCTTAATTGGACATTTAAGATGCTAACAAAGATCCCCCCAAAATAGCCATAAACCTCGACATTCACTCCGCAACTTCACCAGCGGCCATTCTGGCAACGACGATGACAATCGGAGTCTGTGGAATCATGTAGTTTTCCATGCTTCCACACTCATCAGCAGCAGCGTGACGGATGGTAAGTGAAGCATCGTTGGAAACGCCTGGAAGAGAATCACATGAAGGTTGAAACCGACGTGGGTCAACAGCACGTTTAGGCATCCTCCCTTCATCTTTATCTCCCCCCCCCCATTTTCTACTTCATCGGCAGCGTTGGAGCGTTTCTACCGCAGTCTGCTCCGGTGGCTTGTGCTCGTCGCGTCGCATCCCGCACATGACGCGCCCTTTTCAGAACGTGTGTCGTCTATCTAATTGCCGGAATCCGTGACCAATGCCTTGTTTTCCTCACAGAATCCAGGAGTGATGCTGCAAGAGAGTGTTTCGAGAGAGAAGAGAGAACAAATCGGTAAAAGCGGCATGTATTTTTACTAGAACCCTGAAGTTGGTTGTTTTAGACACTGTTCCCCTGAACAACCCCCAAATTCAGCTTATGAACGAACACCTTCATGTGGGTTGTCATCCTCAAGGTTGAGCCAAGACAAAGTTTTCTCACCTTGTTGTCTTCCTGGTGCTTTTCAGCATGCTTAGGCAAAAGAGGACCTAGATTGAGTTTACTGGGTTCACCCAACAGATGAACTCAGTAAACTTTGTATATGTTCATAAATCCCGCAGGCTGCCTTCCGGTATAGTTTGGGTTCTACCCAATTCAATATCCATGCGCAATGAGGTGCAACAAGTTGAACAAAATGTAGATCAATTCAAAGGACGTGAGATTTGAAATGCTCTTCATGTCCTACAATGGTTGGTGCAATGGTTGTGGACTTTGTTTGTGATGGGCAAGGTTTATCAAATTTTAGAAGTAAAAATGTTAGAAAGTTGATATTTGAGATGAAGAATTAACTGGACTGTCCTTAAGATACTAGAAACAAACCTAGATGGTGTCAAGGACAACATGTTGATTTTATTATTTAAAAACAATTGAATAATTAATTATTTAGGAATAAAATATCTTCAATAGGGCTACCAACATCATCTTCATTACTTTTGTATTACTAGGATAAACTAGCTCACCAAAAAGATTAATTCAAGTAGATGAACATTTAATACAAAAATTCATCCTCCCTAGTTCCTAATATAGGCATAGTTTTTCAACAACTTTTTTTGGTGGAACACTTCAAAAATAATTGGAGTTACAATAGAAAGTGGTAGATTTACTAAAATTAGGATGAGAGGTTTTGTTAATGATTGTATACATTAAAATTAAGTTTTAGCAAGCTATAAATATTTAAATATCATTTCAATAATATTGTGAAAAAAGTTTTTTCTTTTTCCTTTAAAGATAACAATTATATGCTAGTTGGGACATGACATGGCAAGAAAGGACAGTCATTTCAAGTTCTTTAAACCCTTCCTTCATGAACGAAGTTTTTATCATATAAAAACACAATCACATCTTTACTTGGATTCCTTAAATTCCTTAAATTCAATGGTATGTTTGTATTTTTTTCAATAACCATTTTTGATGTATTATGATATATGTAATATATAAGAGAATAATAACAAAGTGAAGGAATGGGTTGGAGAATAATGTTTTTGAGAAAGCAAATAGTGAACACAAGGGTTATAGTTAAATTTGATAAAAATATGAAAATATAAGAGAGGTAATTTTAATGAACTGTTTTAAGTAGAGATTGATGTTTCAAAATTTTTCCTTGAAATGGTTTCAGTATAAATCACTTAAAAGACAAACTACTTGAAAGATGAAACATACATAGGTGTCTATATACTTGAAAGGTTAATATTCTATATTAGAATGATATAATTCTTGATAGGAAAAGATGTATAAAGATGTGTCAAGTATTGATAAATTGTATGAGATTTGTCAAGTGTATTCAAACATGTACTGCCAAGATAGATTGAATCCAAAGTTTTGATTTGCAACTCATGACAAGTGGGTGGAGAATTTGATAGCAATATTTAAGGGTTACAGGTAGGAAGAACAATTAAAAATTAAAAATTAAATACTATGCAATGTTTGTATGAGACTAGTCATTAAACCAAGTGCGAGGACAAACATCACAAACAAAGACCATTCAAAATACAAGTTACTTTTGTTTTGGGAAAACACATTTGCTGTTACAATTGTGTTGAAAGTTAAAAGCAAATGAATGGGACCAACACCATTTTTATAACTAAATTTTTACATGCGGTGTATACTTTACACCAAATAATTAACACCAATTGATTCATTCATTACGATTCCAACAACGTTCCACGTTTTTATTTCATTTATTCACAGGTGGGTTTAATTTCCACTTTCTTTAACATTGAACCAAGCAAATAATAGTATTACCAAAAAGTAAAGAAGTAAAGCAGGGGGAAAAGAAAGTAAAATAATAAATAAAGAGAAAAATAAAGGGGAAAAAATCACAAGGAAAAAGAATGGCCACTAGCCACCAATAAACACTGCCATCTTTCAATTGCAGGCAGAACCACAGGTCCAGGAAAGCACTCCTCCCATTGGTTCCGACCCATCAGAAAGCCATCTCAGCAGTCCTTAATAGCCACTAGAAACTTGACATTTGTACTCGAAACTACGACCATAAGCTTTTATCGTGAGGCTTATCTTGTCTTGATAGGTCCATGCCCGTCGATTCGTATGTATATATTTGTGGCTAAGGACAGCCGTATATGACGTATGATACGGAGTGATATGTATTACAGGAGTATGCTTGTGCTTAATTATCGGTCGAGCGAGCATCGTATTCATCCTCTTCCGGCTGCTGAGAAAGAGGGGACGGGGGGGGAGGGGGAGGTAGGAAGGAGGTGCCCAAGGTTTGTGTATGTGGTCCTCGCGCCGGAGCTCCTTCTTCTTTATGGCCACGTTGTTACTGGACTTGTTGTTTATTTTGAATTACGTCCCTCCCGATTCTCTGCTTCGAGACCTCTGCGGAGTATCCTTTCCCGTGCCGCGAGGACCCCTTTCACGCCAGTTCTTGGAGTTGTTGCAATCACACTTAGGCCTGACTGACCCTGGTCGATCACGTTGGCATGGCGCAATTCCTGCGGATTACCAGTTTTTCGCGGCTCGTCACTCTTAGTCTCGCATGGAATCCTCTGGAATTGTTTTTGTGACGAATTTGTGGAAAAAATTGCGGTCAAGTCTTCTTTTCCCGCCTATGTGTCAAGAACGTGAGTACTCTCTTGCGGTGTTGGCTCGAGCTCAGGAGAGGCTGAAGAAGCGCCTAGCTGCTGGCGTTTATGTTTCCTAATTGGCGAATGTTTTCTGTGTGGCTGAGTAAGTTTTTATTTTTATTCTTTATATTTTTACATATATCATGGTGCTGGATTTGTGTTGTGAGCGGTTGAAAATTGGGGGTAGGGGAGGGGAACCGCGGAAGGGTGTGGTGTTGTGGAGTGTTTTTGATCGTATTAATAAGGTCAGCAAACGAGAGGAAGCTGTTCGGACGTCGTATTAGTATGTATTAGAGGTCTGCGAAGGACCAATGTTGGCTGATTAGAAAGCGTATGTCAAAAACGGATTGAGTTTGTTCCCGGGTTGTCAATTTGAAGAAGTAGTGGATGATCGGTGAGTGGAAGCATGTTGCAAATTAGACTATGCGGATAAGATTCCTGTTGTTTTCAGGACGTTGCTAAATGAAAGGAAAATGAAACTTTAAAAATCACTCTACGATGCAAGTACTTTTTTCCCTCTGCATAACTCAGGAGACAAGTTGTGATTATCTGAATATCGGAACAAGGTTTGATGTTGTTATTTGTTATTATCAAGTTGAGAGTAGGAAGGAATGCTATCTTTGACGCTCCCAATCCAACTGGATTAGAGTAAAGGCTTGTTGTGGCTTTTATGATCGATAGGGAGCAAGACGCGCGATCAAATAGTGATAAGCACATTCAGGGAACGCCTTATCATCTACGGTAGGTATTCAAGGAAGTGGATACTTATGCATTTTTCCAACACCTACCTTCCAAATGGTCCTACAATCAAGCTCGGGAGCTGTGCTGCATTGAGTAACGTGTCGTAATTTCCAGGAATTCTCTGTTGAACAGCTGCCGGGGGTATTTTAAACGACTTGTTAAGGAATGATTGAATCTGGAAATTAAGCTTGATAACGTAGCTAACAGTGAATCTGTCTCAAGTCGTCTTGAGTCATCGTTTTGTTCATTTCAATCAGCTGAGTGCCCCATTATTCTGTTATCTGCTTCTGGTTTTACAAGAGGTACGTCACTAGCATTTGACTTTCTTTACATAGTCGGTATTCTGCTCGTGCCGTGGTAGGGAACATGCTATGAGCTTGGACTTACTGAAATTCTCACATACCACTTTTTCATAGTGTTTTCGTCGATGAGTTTCTAAATGTAAACAGTATGACGAGAGTATTGTGTATCTCATTCTCGGGAAATCGAAGGCAGGTCAAGGTTTTCGTGGTGCAACTTGGTCACATTATAATGTAGTACGATCCTACTTGTTGTGAAAATTTTATCTTCTCTCTGGCATTAGCTAACCGTAGGTGAATAAGTTTAGAACTAATAATTCCAGTGATTTTTTTTCGAGATGACCAGGCCCTGTTTGGCTGCAATAAATTCTTGGTTTTAAATGAGACTGATATTTTTGAGGATTGAAGACGCTAACAGAGAATTTGACATTAATGGTCTTATACTGTGATTGTAGGTGTTTGCCTGACATCCTGGTCCATCCACATGAAGCCTTAAAACGTCAACCTCTGCACGAAACAGAGCTATCATGAAAGTAGAGATTATGATCTACCGTAATTTTGTATGCAGGCGCAAAGGGTTAGGAACCACAAAGTAGGAGCCATGCGGGGGGGCAGTGAGGGACCGAATTGGATACTCCTTGCTGGAGGAGCCGCTGTTACAGCATTGAGTTACGTCATTGGACGAAGGCAGAAGCATGGATTTGAAGATGTAGGAGACGTGCGTGAGGGAAAGTCGGGCAAGTTCGGGCTTGCGAATCACAATGGTAACCTTCATTCAAGTATTTTAATTGGATTCATGTTGTCTCTAATTAGTTGAAACATGATTTAGAAAGAAGTTTAAATATACCTCTTTAGAAAGCGTAACGTTTTCAAGATTGTACATTGGAATTACTGAAGTTGGTTTGTGATGGTGGTAACTGCATTCTTTTAGTGCAAGATGAAAGATGGAGTTCTTAATTTCAATTACAGTTTTAATGGCCTTTTTTTCTTTTTTCTTTTTTCTTTTTTTCTTTTTTTCTTTTTGCTCATAAATGTGCTTGTTGAGCTCGCACAGAAGAGTTCGCATTAATCTTACTCTATTCAGTTGCTGCTCACAATTTTGTCATTGGTTCATATAATTCTCTTGAGTAGGTAGAATTAGGCCAACGTCAGCACAGACGTTGTGCCTTCCCCCCTTCAAGGTTAAGTGTGGTTTTATAAGGCTCAAGCCAGGTCTGACGAATTACAAGCTCCATTTGCAGATATTTTTGAGCCTGAACACGACGATTTAGCATCATCAAAAACCTACTCGCATCAAGAATCATTTGGTAGTGTAACTTCGAACGAACTTGACGACTCTACGCGTTCAGGTCAGAATACTTGGCCTAATCTTGGGCTATGATAGCTATATTAGATTTGGCTATAGAATTTTAGATTCAAAATGTCGCACTCATTTTGTTGAAGATTATAATTTCAGTACCGCTCGCTTCCTGTCTAGTCATTTATGGTGGCGTTTCGTACATGGTGAATGAGATCTATTGCTAGTACTCATTAGTGTGTTGTCTCTGAGCAGGGTTGCCGACATCCCCAGCACGTGTGCACGGCACAAGCACACGAGGGCTTTGTGATGCTTTTCAAGCAAGCAATCATCTGGATAGGCGACATTCGCAAAATATTTCACAAGATGATCCTACAGTTGAATTCTCCAAGGAAGTGTTATCTGAGGAAGAAAGAGATTTTCAAAGGAGAATTTCAATCGCTCAGGAGGATATGCGACGTAGTTACCAGCAAGGTAATGGTCCATTTAGCAATAGCAAGTCGGGTACCTTTTTGGACCTTAATCTATTTGCAAAAAGTTCATTCATTACTCTTTGAACGAGTTGAGTAAACTCTCTGAATTTAGGAGGAAGTGTTAAAACAAAGCATGTCTAAATGGAACTTGCGATGTTTTTCAGGAGTGCTGATTGGTCGCTCAGCGAATCGAAACATGGTGCACAGATTGCGGAAGCAACTGAGGAGTCGAGACGAGATGATTTTGAGTATGCAGAACCAAATATCCGAGTATGATAGAAGCCTATCTCAGTCTGATGCTCATATGTCTGTGTTGCAAGCTCGTCTGGTGGAAAGCAGCAAGGTGATTTCGGACTTCTACACGGAGGTCCATCTTCTTCGGGCGCACTTAGCTGATCTTTTCCAGTTTGGTGGAAGGATAGAAGATTACAATCAGTTAGTAACTGAAGGTGCTGAACAGATCGCCAATTATGGAGATGAACACAGTGTAAGTAACGATGCACGTAACCTCGAGTTCGCCGTATGCTAATGTAGGTGTGATTCATTAGATGGATGTACGGAGCCTGTGTAATTAACCAGATAGATTTAGTTTAAAGTTTGTATTTGAATGTTCTCATCCAGGAGAATTTGTACATGCTTCAGAAGCGTACAAGTTAACACGAAAATCACCTTTTTGAGATGTCTTCATACCTGTACAGGATTTGAATTCAACATTGTTGGAGCTCAAGATGTTTAGAGAGGATTTGGATCGATTGAAAGAGGAGACAACTGCGAAAGAAAGTGCAAGGCAAGCTTTATCTCAGGGTTACAAAGCCTTGCTTGAGAAGGTAGACCGACTTGAATGTGCGTTAAAAGAGCAGGGAATGCTCGTTTCTGAGAAGGAGAATGAGCTAGACATAAATCGAATGGAGCTTGCCAGAGTCAATTCTAAATTGCAAGATATTCACCATCGGCTGCAAGCACAGGTCTCTACATTTCCTTGCTTTAGTTCCGTGTGTAACTGTGTAAAAAAGGCATTTGAAGTAAGAGTGTTGCATCGTTATTGTGCTTTAAGAGTTTTCTATTCCACCCTAAACGAGGAATTCACTGGTCGGTTTCCATATTTGACGATGATCGTCCGAGGGCCTTAAATCTGCATGAATCCTTTTATGGCAGGTCGAGGAGATGGAAGCTTTGAGGCACTGCAATGCAAAACTGGAGGCCTGTATTCACAAGTTCAATTTAAGAAGATTTAGTCCTCGAGGCATTCGCAGTAGTGAGGAGATCACTTCTTCAACAAGCACTGAAGTTTCAGACAGTTCAAGTCACCCTCGTGAAGGCGGAGAAGACCTGGAACTTTCTGACTTATGCTCTGAAGTTGAGTTGGACTTTACTGAGGACTACAATTATACTGCTGTAAGTGATAGCATGGTGGTAACCTTGCAGCAGGAAGTTGAGCAGCTTTCAACAGCTGTTTCTTCCCAATCCAAAGTGGTACGTGACGGCAGTCTTCCGTAGAATATTACATCTTTGTTTGAAGCATGGTGATGGAGCACTCACATTTGTTAGCTTAGACAATGGGAAGCAATGACTCGTGCGAATGAAAGTTTCTCTGTGCTTATGAGGTGAAATTATGATGATTCCTCGCAGGTGACTGAGCAAAAAGAATTAACAACCAATCTTGTTGAGGATCTTCAGGTAATATGACGGTGCCTTCTGAGCGATCAAAACTATAGATTATGGTTAACATCAAAATGATTAGAATTTGATCTTGTAATTTTATTTAATAAGAGTAGGAAAAAGGCACCATAATATTTGTAAAGAAAAGCAGAGATCTAAGGGGTTCATGTTTTATTATTTGTTAAGTTCATTAGTTATAATTTCAAATTAGGCAGTTTCCTTTCAGAAAAAATTTCTTACCTTGAGGTTGTCATATACTGAATTTCACACTTCACGTGGTGTCGAAAGGCGATGCCAGGCTCGTCAACCTGTTCTTCCCTGGAGAAGAGTTGTTGATCTTTGTTACGGATTTTTGTGTTTTCAGGTGAACGAGGTCAGCATGAAGTTGACCGACACGGTGAAGAGTGAGCAAGTGGATAAAGAGATGGCCGATATAAAGAAATACCAGGCCAAAATTGAAGAACTTGGTCAGAAAGTATCAAACCTCAGTCGGGACAGCACCGATGAAGTCGGCACCGAGCAAAGCCTTCACGTAGCTGCTTTGTTACGTGGTCTTGCTGAAAAGCTCGCTGCGCAGGTTTTCTCATGTGACAACCCTTCGAGATTTGAGTCATGTGCTTTGAGCGAAGCGTGCATGGAACGACACATTGTGAGAGTGTAGAATTTGATGATGGGCAGGAACGGTGTAGAAGGTGTCATGGGTGAGGCAGGAGTTAGCTGTGGGATTCTTAGTGACCGGGTTTGGTGTTGGAGTATGACAGGAAGAGCAGGCAAAACAGACAGCTGTGGGAGTTGAGCAACTATCGACGTCGCTCCAGCAATTGAATCCTAGTCCTACAAAGGTAGGGGCGGTGAGGAGGTGTTTGGTTTGGATAGTGGAGTTAGATGTGGGTTGTGAATGTGAACTTGATTGATGGCACGTGTTAAGGAAGTGTAAAATGTTGTGGAGTTCTTGCTTTGTTTGTGGAGTGAATTTGAGAACAACGTAAAGGTAGAAGGGTCGTCAGTTGTTCCTCAAAAGAAATGATGGTAATGTCCACATAAGTTGAACAACACTGTGTGTTTCATTTAACAGAGTGAGGAAGTTGAGATGCCGCTGGAGGGAGAGCCTGACTTAAAAGATGTGCATTCAAATGATGTTGGAAATATTAAAAACAATTCCTCTAGCGCTCATGTCAAGTAAGAGCCTCTTACTTTTCACTCCATTAAGTGCACTGATTGTTGTACATTAGGTCATCATAGATTGCATGATATGTTTTGTTTCTAATTTACATTCGATTTTTACAGATACGCAGATGAGGATAGCAATGTAATTATCAGCAGCAATAATGCGAATGATACTCACGTGGAGTATCAAGCTTTGGAGAGTAGACCTGTCCCTACTGAAGTAGAGAATACCGGTCATATAACATGGGACGTGCAGCAGAAGTACAGGTATTTCCCCTATGAGGTAGAGCAAGTGATGGCAGCTAATACTCCAGATAACGAGACTGTGGAATTTTTGCCCATACTAGAAGAGTTCTCTCCACTCGTGCGACAAGCAAGAAGCCCTCGACTGGGCACTGGAAGCTCTAGGAGATACTTGTTTAATTCAGGTACTACTGATGAGAGTGGCCAAGCAAATAGTTTGGAGGCTTCCAGTGGATATTTGGTGACTACTGCGGAGAGTCCTCTAGGAGTGCAATCAAGCACAGAGAGCCCTTTGTTGATAGATCGTTCCGATGCAGCTTCAACTTCTCCAGTCTCCCAAATGCTTTCACAATTGGATTTTAAGTCAGAGTTTCCTGAAACTTCTAGCTTGCAAGAAGCTTCAGTGGAAGTATTGCTGCCCGACTCTCCTAAGGAAATGGTCGAAGATGAAGAAGGTTTATTTGAGGAAGTCTATACTCCAAGAGCGGCCAGATCAATCGAGTCAGAAGCCAACAATTCAAGTGAGGAGGAGACGATTGGGGCTGCGCCTATTGACGAGTCCGAAACCAATACTCCAAGTGCGGACGGGATCATGGAGGCAGAGCATGTTGATGATTCAATTTCTGAGTCAGGATCTGAGTCAAGAGGCTCAATCGACGCTGAATTTGATGAGATACTGGATGGAACCCTCGAAGATCTGGTCAAAATCTTCTCGACATCTGTGACTCCCTCCGGCACACCTACATCCAGTGTCCTCTCTCAGAATAGTGGATCAAAAAGATTCCAAAATTTTTGAAAATTTCGAAATCATGTCTCTCTGTACGCTCGCACGGCTCGATATTTACGCGACAGAGGTAATTCTCGTGCTGAGCAACTCATCTCAGAAATCTGCAGCACTGTACAAGTAGGGGCACAAATTGTGAAGATTCAAAGCCAGCAGACGACCTGTTCAGTTCATTGATTATATTCTGGAGTTGTATTATGAAGTTGACGTCATCCTCTGACACATGATACTTGTGCATAATAGTGCAAAGTCCGTTCTAAAATTTGTGCGAGTAGAGTACTCTGTACTAGACAAACCAAGAGGTTTCCCCAAATCTTTGGTGTCTTTATTTGATGTCTTTCTGGAAAGTGAGTAAATCTTGATGGGGAATGCATGCTGAACGCCCTGTGTAAATTTTTAATTTTAAGAAAATCTTTTTTCCATTCCATTTTTTCCTTTTTGTTGAAATCCACTGCTTCCGACACAAATGCTGCCTGGATTGCAGGGGTGCTTTCATGGTTGCAGTTTTTTTGTTGACATTCCTTTACAGGAGCAGCAGACTAGCATTGTTCTTTAACGAGTGCTTAAGTGTTCTGATGCTTGGGCCAAGTCTTCTCTTTATTTCTGTGTCTACCCATATGAAGATTATCTGCACAGTGCGAATGCGGACCATGAAAAATGTAATTGACATGGTCGCTGTTCTGAAAAGGAAAACTCCTCTGACGGATCAAGGCCTAACTCCGATGTCCCCCTGTGGCTGTGCAACCAGTGAGGGGGTACGATACGACCTGTTCTCCACGAGAGAGGTGTTCATGAAGACCAGATATGTCTTTCTTCTATTGCTGCAATAAGTACTGAAATCGATGCTGCCTTGTGTGTAGTTTTCTATCATTGAGGTTTCGCCTATCTCTTGTTGAATCTACATAGGTACCTAGGATTTAAGGAATGAAAATCAGATGGTCACTTAGAGTCCCTCATAGCGATCATACCTTACACTCATCCAACAAAACACATAAAAGTTAGGTACCACTTGTACTTTGGCTTAAACCTCTTATGTGTCAAAAAAAAAATATATATATATATATATATATATATATATATATACATATATATATATATATATATAATATACATGTAAAATCAAAGTAGGCAAGTTGCAACTGTCATGAAAGACATGAGGTAAATGTACCAAAAGACCATCCACTAACCAACCTTTTACTGATCAAGGTTAGAACAAGGAGGATGTAAAGGAGCTGAGATAACAGGTCCAGAGTCGCTATAATACTGCCCCCCGGCGCTTTGAGAAACAACCCCAAGTAATCAGCTTCTTACGTTTTGGAGTGTACTGCCAGGCCACGCACTACACGATCCTTATTTCATGTGTCTGAAAAAGAATATTTGTGATTCAGGAGGTCTCAAGGGTGCCGCAAAGAGAGATCGATTTCCCAGCCTAATCCGGTACTTTGAATGAAGTCGGATGTGGAGTTTCAAATTCCAGGGCGGCGGCGGGAGCTTCTTCAAATGTGGAGGGATTAGGATGTAGATTGTCAGTTGGGGAGCAGTGAACGAGAGAAAATTCATGCAAAACTAGAAAGGTTGTTTTGCTTTCCATAAAAAAACCGGTGGTCAGCGGCTTTTTGGCTCAGTTGCTTTCCACATATAAGCTCTTCATTCTGGGTTCAGATTTTAGCCGTTCTGGTTCAATTTTGAATAGGTAATCCGGGTATTGCGCTCGGTTGATTATACAGTGTCTGTCTGTTCTTTTCATTCATTGGTTGGGAGAGTTGGTTACACTGATCTGGCGGACGAAGTGGTTACAGTAATTGTTCGGAGTCCTTTGAACGAACCGGTACAGTTCCTTTGAAGCTCTCTAGCGGCTTCGGTAACGACCTACTCCTGACATTAGGTGATTGCATCTGTTTGAATTGCTTGCCAAGTTAATTTTTGCATTGAAAATGGAAAAGTCGTACCACTTTATTGGTTAGGATAGTTTACTCTGTCATATAATTTTAGAAGTGCAATCTTTCTGATGATATACTGCACTAGAGGGTTGCAGTCAAACAACTAGGTATTAGAGAAGTGGATGTTGGATTAGCTATGTTTACAAATAGAGACCATGGTGAAGTAACATTATGATTATTTGCAAGGTGCATTTACCTCATTTTTAAGATAACATGTGGGTCACAATACTTGAAAGATAATACATATATATATATATATATATATATATATATTCAGAAAGAAGGATTTTTGCAAGCCAACTAAACACAAAGCACAAAAGAGGGGTTGATGAAATGATGCCACATTTATATTTTATTTCTTTATTAGTTATATATAGTTATATATTAGTTTCCATGATTTTTTTCACTTCCGTCTTTGTACCCAAGCTTTGTACCCAAGCTTGTGAGACTTGTTCATCAACTAGTGCAAAACAAACTTCTAAAGAAAATTTGTCATAAAGACTTCTTGCAGAAGTTTTCTAAAAGAATGTGCAAGTTTTCTCTAAAAGTTTTCTAAATGTGTGTAGCTAAAATAAGTTAATATAAAAATCTTAAAATATTTCCAAACGTTTTTGGAAAGAAAAGAGATTCCAAAAGATTAAGGAATGTTTATTTAAAAAAAAAAAAAAAAAAAAAAAAAAAAAAAACTTAGAAATGATAATTGTGGAGTGTACTTTTCTATATGCATTGTCCACTTTGTATTATAATATCAAATTTGAGTTTCATGTTTTAAACTCATTTAAAGAATATATATATATATATATATATATATATATCTCTATACACACGTAATATTTGCAAAAAATCTGCAAATGTGTGTAGCTAGACCCTTAAATCCTTTGTACTACTTACTGTTTGTACTTAAGTTTATGTAAAACTCCATTCTTCATTCATTAGCAAGTCAAAATCTTCTGTTACTTTGACTTGACAATACTTTGACAAAGAAATTCCTTCGTGCAAGAATTCAATAACAATAATTATGATAGCTGTTTTCTTCACTTCAATTTAGATTGTGTAATTTACCTGGCAAAATCTCTACAATTCACTCCAGAAGGACCTGCTTCCAATATCGTTCAATTCTCAGGTAGTTTCAAAGGAACTGACATTGTAGAACAGACCTGGACAGAAAATCCATAACCAGTTACTACCCACGCAACCAAATAATAGTGGACGGGATTTCCAAAGGGAAAATCTCGTATGCTCAAGTGTGATGGACAAAACCACTGTCGAGGCGTTAATGACGTTATGGACGTTGTATATAGACGTTACAAAAAGACGTTGGTAAAACAGAAATAGCTACTGGTTTCAAACCTTTCAGTAACTACCATTTATTGTCTGACTTGCAACTTCTGCATAAACAATAATTGCTGCATTAGTTTTTTCGTTGACTTAGTTACTCCTGGTGCTTGACATCTTCCAATGTTAAAATCGCCCTCAAGTTATTATAATTCGAGATTAATCCACAGCTTGTTTAACAGCGAAGGTAGTGAAACTTGTGTCGCTGAACAGATATGCCTATTTGTTAAGCAGTTTACCATAATCTCCAAACTGACACACAAGATATATTAACACGATATGTTAACAAAAAATACATATTTAACTGTTCAGGTGAACAATTTCATTACCAAGAATGGCACCACCTCAGAACTTGTGGCACGAGCCACGGCAGCTTCACAACATCATGGTGAAAAATCTTGTGCAAGATGAAATAAAGTCGAAATGCACTTGAATGAATAGCCTTCGATTACCAAATGGTCCATCACTAAAAACATTCGGAGACTACTAGTTCCTGGTTTCCAGTCAAACAGGTCTGCTAATCTGCGCTCTAAGCTTGTGTAATAGTCTACAGCTGTTCAAGCTAACCGAAAATAAGAATAATAATGATAATAGTAATAGATGTGGAGCTAGACTGCCATATATCTATTAACCCTTCAAGATTTCACAGGTATACCCTGGCAGAAAACGACTACGTTGGATTGTCCACCCAATGAATTGGCTTTTAATCTCAACTCGACAGCAACCTGAAAGTAACCTACCAAGAGAAGGTACAAATGGTTTCTGCTGATTACGCCTATCGATGGAGAAAACACACCATACGACGGTGTTAACCTCCCTTCCTGGAGCTGAGTTCTACACCTACAGAGTATATTTACAAATAGAAAGAGACATCAAAAAGTGAGGGCCTTGCAAGCTAATACAAGTTCAACGATCCTTTTTCCGGGTTGAGGGCTCCCATACACGATTATTTGCAGTAAATAGCGGCAAAGCCTGGAAAAAAAATAGTACATGTCAAGTCGTGTGGCCTGGGAATAGCCCAAGCGCGGTCTTTACTACACCTGCTCCCCTGTGAAGCCTAGACTTCCACTCAGACTCCGGCGGTGGCCTCTTTTCACCTCCCCAGTTGAAGGAACAACAGTAGAAAACATCTTGCAACCGAATGCTTTCGACAGCGGATTCACGGGCTTCTTCGCCCTGTGAAGATTCTCAATCTCCTGTCTCATCGTCCCACATTCCATTTCCAGCTGACTGACGCGTGCCAAGATCTTTCCCATGTCATCTTTCAGCTTTTGACCCACCTCCAGAGAATCGTCCCAACTCTCTCCTTGCCTTGCCCCTCCTGGCCCTGCATGATGCTGCTGCCCTAGCTGCCTACCAGAGGCCCCCACGGTATCTGCAACCAAGAAGGACCCAGCTATGGCGTTCCGCAGCTGTAGCTGCTCAAAGAAGAGAACCTGCACAACCACTCGCAACGGCAGTCTCTCATTCTGTGCAGCGTGTGTACACGCTTCTAGGGAAAGTTTCTGGCAGCTCATAACCTTGCACACCATCTCTCGCTCTGATTCCGATAACCAAGGATGAGCCTTCAAGTACACATCAATTGCCCTATATAGCCCATCGTCTAAAAACCTGGAATAATCAGGCAACGCCTCAGCTAATGCTATGAACTTCGTAGGCTTCAGATTGACATCTGGCGCAATTTCGGCGAGATAAGCATCTATGAGCTTCGCAACCATCATAATAGGACAGAGAGAGGGGGAGCCCAAGAGCAGACCCTCTTCATCTGACTCGGGTGGAATATTTTGCTCCAACATCAAGTAATGGTCCAGAATCCGTTGCACCAAATCAATATCATAGAGTGTCTCCTCTACATGAGAGTAATTCGGCACTAAAAGCTCATCAAGGGTGGCCTGGTCCAGCTGCATGCCTATCCTCTTCTCCAAGCTGCTCTTACATTGTGAGCTAGCATTTAGTATTATAGCTAATCGCAGTAATCCAAAAAGAAACCGAGTGGAGCTTCCAACTTTCAACAGAGGGAGGAGAGACTCAATCGTTTCAAGCAGAATTCGCTGCTCGTTCTCCTGGACGATAGGGTTTGCGGGTACAATCGCCTTGCGGTGACTGTGAGCTGGTTCGCGTCCACTGTGGCGTCTGTGGAGACCTGGCAGGGCTTTCTTTGCGTAGTGGACAACTGCACCCCATATGCTCTCGCCACCAACACCGGCAGCTTCCATTCCAAGCACAACTTTCTCAAACAATGTCAGACTTAGAACGGAGATGTCTTCGTACCACCAATTGTCGCCGTCTCCAGGTACTCTAGCCCTGGCTCCCGTGCTAATACCGTTCCAGAGCAGGCTACCGCCAGGGGATTGCAATGCACGCTGACCTCGCATAGGCCATACTCTTCTTGAAGAATCGTTCATGTTTGCTTTAGCACATACGGAGTTTATCAGTCTGTCCACAAGACCAAGTTCCTCGGCCATGGGGTAAAAATTTGGGCAGCTCTGCAATGCGGCGATGGAGTCTGACCAATTCCGGAGCACTACCTCTTCGAGAAAGGACTCTGATCTCTCAATCAAATTCTGGTTTGCAAGATCTTCTGTCATTTCTAAATACTCTGCAGCGCAACGTAGGGCAACAATATTGCAAGGAGTGAATTCCACCTTCATCCCATAGCAAAACTTGGCGGCAAGCTCGAAGGCCAACGTTCCGCCAGGAAAATTTTCAAGGCGAATGTCGCAGGTATCTTCATCTTCCCTGCTCGCTCGCTCTACGAGACTCGCGATGCGTCGGCAACGGGATACAAGAGGAAACTTGTGTAGGTGGAAGCTCATCTGCTCAACATCCACAACGATGTCACTTTGGAGCCCGGAGGCACAAAGCCACGCTTGTCCTCTTCTCTGGGACGTCCCATCCGGCGAAGTCCTGGATCTCCCCCCACTAGACGCCATCCCTCCTTCGACCCTCACAGCCTTGTATCTAGGGTGCAAAACCTAATCCACACGCACACTCGCCAGAGAATCGGCACAGCAGCAATGACGGAGTAGAGACTACCTCCCTACACCCCTACAATTACATCCCAAATACGAAAAATATATTTCCCTGAGACAATGCTCCTCCACTGCAATTGCTACCTAGTCTCCAACAGGTCACGAAAACTAGACACAAGCTACAGAAGAGGATGAGCATGTTTATCCAACGAAAGCTCCTGTTCACAGATGTCCCGCCCCTATTCTGATCGCTAGTAAAGCACACTGCGCAGCCAAGGATGTCGAAGGAATTTTGGCGCAGCCATGATCTGATCTGCAACCTCCATCACCTGGCAAACAGAAAGGAACAACAGTGCGCGGCCACAGAGAAAAGAGTGAGATTGGCTCTCTCTAGCTCTCTCTCTCTCTCTCTCTCTCTCGCACACACACAAATAGAGACCTAATACTCAAGACCAAAATTTACGTGCTCGAGGAAAAACAAAAGGCTGTCTTGCACAACCACAAACTCTATCCGAGCACAACTCCCACGAACAGCCAAAACAGCGGACAGAGAGCTCTCGAGACTTTACTCGCCTGATCACACCGGGCGCTTTCCATGATCACAGATTCCTCCGTCCTCCCGTCACTCGCTACGCTCCCCATCATCGCCAAAGAGCCCCCAGCAAGACCCGCTACTACATTGCCTCCGCCCACATCTCTCCCAGTCTCCCGTCCCCTCCTCCTGCAAACCATCGCCACCACCACAACCATCGTCACCCACCCAATCTCACCCCCAACAATCACTCAAACCGCCACCACTCACTGCCTCACTCCACCCCGTCCCAGCTCAAGATCCCGACGCCCCCCGCACCGAAATTCTCGCCGGCTGCCAATCCAGCAATCATCACACTCCCCCACTTCACCCTCGCAACCTCTACCACGGCGAAGAGTGCGGTTCTCCCCCATCCCCTTCAAGTAGCCCCCATCCTCATCGCCCTCGTCCTCGGCCTCGGTTTCGCCGCAGCCCTAGCCAGCTCTAACACACAATGCACGCATCAACGCAAGCAGGCAGCCTCAACTACTCACCCCGACTCCTGCCCTTTCGCAAAACTCAACTCTGCACCATCACCATCACATTCTGCCTCAACTATTCTCCATTCATGCTCCAGTAGCTGCTCGACGCATCGATAACCAAGCTCGCTCGCTCACACACTCACTCTCACTCTCTCGCTCTCAATCTCCCTTCCGCCGCAGCTGCTGCTGCCTCCGCCAGAGCAACATGCACAACCCAGCTACCGTGCCATTATTTTTGCTGTGAGGATCGAAGCGATGCGGCGATGCGGCCCTCGGGCCCCGCAGCGGATTGATTGTACACGAGCGCCGCGGATGCGCTGCGCAGCTTCGCTTCGCTGCTCCCGCTCGCGCTCTCGCTTTCGCCACTGCCGCGGAGCCGGTGGAACCCCGCGCTTTCTTTTCCCTAAATCCAGATTGGAACTAATTAATACCCCATTAGAGCTTGATAACCGTGATTTAGTGTTAGGGTTTAAGCGCGACTACGCAGTTCATGCTCACAATGTTGCTTCTCCATCAGTGTAATGTTTTTTTTTAACTCATTGTTTTTTAATGTGAAATATTTAATGAAATTTGGGTTGTGTATAGATAATTCTTGTATAAGTTGAGTGATGTTTTTCATTTTTTTGCCACTTTTCTGGGTATGAGAAAGTAGATGGATTGTTTTGGAATGAGTGTATTTACTATGTTTTTATTTTTGTATTTTCTTTTGGCTTTGAATATTGAATAAGGTGGATTTGTGTTGTAAGCTTGTATTGAAGTGTTGGCTTGATTTTGTGTGTAAATGATTTGCTTTAGCTTTGGTTTGAATGCAAATCACAATGAATCAACCCTAAACATTTCAATCATTTTAAGCAGGAATTTCTTTTTCAGTTATGCAATTTTATGAAGTTTGATATTGCATGCTGCAACTCAGCTTCTCACAATCTTTCAATTATCTCCATTTAAATCTACCAACAAGCTTTAATGCAAACTCAAGGCCAATTTAATAGAAATCTCATTCCACTTGATACTCTGACCCTCAAAAATAACACTACCACTTATTACTCACGAGCCTTAAACAATATTCAAGTAATGACGTGGTATTAAATACACAAGTTGATGTACAAAATACCCAACATTGCACATACAAGAAGTCAATTTGAACATAAAAGAAATGTTCGTGTGTAGATGATTAACATAAACAAAATAATAATAGAAGATAAAAATTTAAAAAATCCAAAGATTTAAACCAAAAACATGAACATTAAAAGAAGTTAGTATTATACTATTTAAAATAAATGTTAACCTTTTTAGAGATTGTTTGAATTCTGAAATTTTCATCCATTTACCTAAAATGATTTTATTCATGAATATTTAATATTCTCTTAAAACTAAAACTATATAGCCAATGATCCTTTCAAAGCAAGGTTCAGATGGTTTTTTAAACAATAGTTATAAAAATGTTTTCACTTTTCTTCTTAGTTTATTTTAAATTGAATACATTAATATTATATTCTAAGTTTTTGTATTTATTACTTAATAAATTTAATATTTTCTACATCTTTGAATTTTTATATTAATATAACTAACATGTAAGTACATGGAATTGACATGGTAAAACTTCAAAATTAACAATGTCAATTTAAAGACTTGAATTCTCTATCTCTTTCTCTCTCTATATATATTTGTATTCTTGAGTGGTTTTTTTTTTTTTTTTTTTTTTTTTTTTATCTACTTCACTAATTTTTTACATATCTATACCATAAAGATATGTCTTCAAAAGAACTACACATTACATCTTTTAAAATTAATTTGTTTTATATAATTATAATATCAAAATAATTCTTTGTAATATTTATGATTTTTTTCTAATAGATATATTTATATTTATATAATTAGATATGTTTGATGTTATTATATCATGTATAATAAGGTAATATCATCTTTTTATAAAAAAACATTTCATATTACCTTCTGAAGAATTATGTTTTAACACTCTATTATCAAATTTATTTTATTATTAGCATTAGATTTTTAATTTTATAGATTTATCATGTATTTATTAGCAATTATAAATATAAAACATTTCTAATTTGTAAAGCTTCTTTTTCATTAATGACATCATTTTGATACTATCATAAAAAAAAAATTATTGATTTTACAGACATTTTAGATTCATATTGTGTAGTCAAAATTGTAGACTTTTCATAAGACTTAAAAAATTTAGCTCCTACATCATGTATTGTGAAAAAAAAATAAAATAATAATAATAAAATGATTTAAATTAATTTTCTAGAAATTAAATCAGAAAATATATTTAGAGGTTTAAATTTTTTGTGAATAGATAAGACATTTAAACATATTTGTCTTCTCATCTAAAAAAACTTTCACACTCAAAGTGGAATGTGAGAAGCCAAAACTTATAAAATTTGTAATTGGTTAAAATTGAAAATACCTCACTTAGTTGGCTCTAAATTTGAAAAAAACAACCAAAAGACTATAAGAAAAAAAAATGAGGATTCATTTTATTTTATTCACTTTTCTTCCTACATGACATGAATAGTGTTGTCTCCTAAAATTTGTAATTTGCTCATCTCAAAGAGGTGGTTTTCACAAAAATTCAAGAAGTTAAATCAATAGTTGCTAAAAAAATCTATATACATATAGTTATAAAAAAAAATCGAATAATGTTATAAGTTGTCAAATTTAGAAATTTAATAATAAAACACAAAAAAATGATTTGATCTTACACCATCTCCAAAGGCCAAGGCTTTTAAAAGAAAGTTCTTCTGACCAAGTGGAGAACCTTTGTAAGGTTTTTATGCAATGATCTTTCGAGAAGGACTTCTGAATATGATGACCACTTGAGGTGGAAATGCAGTTTTTTGCTTTATAACATAAACATCGTTGTCTTATCGAGTCTGTAATAGGCCAATCTTAAGAGGTGGGTTTAGATAATTCAATTGAGAAGCAATATAAGATACTACTTTAAATAAATATTCCATATCTTGAAATTTTTAAAACTATATTTTTGTCATAGTTGTTAAAATCAAGAACTAATATGACATATTTAAAATTATAACAAAAAATGATTTAGTTTATTTTATACCGTCTTCTCACTTTGTACAATCTCTAAAAGGTGAAGGTTCTAGAAAAGAATTTATTTTGTCAAATGGGAGTTCTTTCTAAGGCTTTTGTACCACAACCTTAAGTAAGCTTTTCGATATAAAGACCCTCTAACAACTGTATTATGTACAATTTTTACACATAAATATATTAAAAAATTTAAAAATATTTACTTAGAAAAATAAAAAATAAGAAAATAAAAATTTATGATACAATAAATATATAAAAAATAATTTTACTTCAATTTTTTCAAGTAATTTTTAATAAGCTTTTAATTTAACTTTTTAGAAATTATTCATATAAAGTGCCAATGATATTAAAAAAAAAAAAAAAAAAAAAAAAAAAACCATTACATACGACAACATTAATTTTTTTAAAAACATATATAAAATAATCTCAACATAACATGATTAGTCAACAAAGTTATCAACTGAAATCGGGTCGCGGCTCACATGAAGCACATCGCAAACACAAAAAATTGTGTTCAGATCAGTATCGATCATTCAGTTTGCTCAGATGCTGAGAAGTGAAAAATAATACAAACAAACAAACAAACAAACAACGCTGATGGCATTGAGAACGATGTGCACGTAGCCTGCGCTTGCGGTGGCCTCTTCCGGCGATCGATGTGCAGGTTTCTGTAATTTGATGCCGGGTGCTCACGAACACCGCGATCTTTCACACGAAACTCGTTGGAAACTCGTTTTGCGGAGCTGTGGTGGCAATAACAAACAGTGACGCCGAAGACTCGAGGTTAGTCCGCTGAGAACCTGATGTATTCCGGCTCTTTGGGCCTTCGTTACAATCAGTCAGAATTCATTCAATCTATCAATCTATCAATAAGTGTATATATGTGCATATATGTATATATGGATCACATTCTGTTTAACGGGATGTAAGCTGATGTGACGATTCAAGAGACGTCGAAGATCGAAAGTCTTTGATGCAAACGTCGACTTTGCTCCAATAATTCTTTATTGATTTAAAAAAAAAATCAAATTAATTATATTAGCACATACATTTTACGGATTATTTTTAACACCATTTATTTAAAAAAATAAAAGAATTGGTTTTTTTAAAGAACTTATAGATGTCATGTTTATTTTTTATGTTTAGATTCTAACAATTTTGAAAAATTTAAGTGAAATTTCCAAGTCAAAGATGGAATAAA